GAGGCCATGTTCTGCCCACCGCAAGTGGAACAGAGCAGGAAGACTAAGCAGGACAGGGCGCAGACACGAAGGAAGCCTAAGCCGCGTTTGGCACAGGTCGCCCTCATGTTGGATATAAAACCTCTGGCGCTAGCGAGCTCCACCAACGAGGCTAGAGTTGGCAAACATCGTCCGCGCGGCCTAAAGGCGTCATTTACAGGCTCACCTGCTCGCTCGCCATTTTAGACCTTACAAACAACTTCCTGAAATTGGCGGTGACCCCAATTAAACCTTCGGACGTGCATGAAAGGAAGCCACGTGAGTGTGCGTAAAAATGATGTGACGAGATCCTTTTATGATTTTTATAGCACAATTTAAAAATATTCAGACTCAGAGTCAGATGTGTTAAAGGGCTCCAATCAGAATTTGATTTGGGACCCACAGCTACACCCACATATCTCCACTTCAGCACCCCGGCAGTATTAACTTTATATTGATCATGTTTGATCGTTGGCATCGATGCCACTGTCAGGGCTGACCGGTGTGTTGGGAAGCAATTAAATAAACAGGCAAAGACAAAATTAGGTGTTTTAATTGCTTTTCAAATGAGCAGCAAATGATTTAAGACAAATCTAAATATGATTTTCTTACATAAATCGCAAATGCAAAAACAGACGTTATGCGTTAAAAGGAATTTAAATAGGTAAACCCAGCACAATCATTAAAATACAAAATATTTAAGTAGACATGCTTGTTGTAGATTATTATGATGTAAAGTGTCGTAATGATATTGTTCAAGAGTATTTTTGTACAGTTACTACAACAATTTCACCGCTTCACTTGCAGCCTCCCGTTTTCATTTTTTAATTCACAGAAATAAGTTTGACTGTATTTATTTCAAAAGCATTGAGGCTGCAGGCCTGTGTCACTAGTTGCCAACTAGGATCTAGTTCCTTCAGCCTTTGAATCTTTTAAGCCAAGATGCGACAGAAAGTTTGTTTTTGTTTTTATTGTGTATGGGACATAAAAAGAATTAGAAGTACAAAAGTAGTGTGAAATGACGCACTTAGCAAGATTGAACAAAGTGTCTAGAAGGTGCATGAAAATAAAAAATCCTCCTTAGTGGGTGAAAAAAGCAAATAACTATTACGTGAATTTCGATGTTTTCATTTTATAATGTAATCAAAAGCAAACCAGTAAAACCATTAGACTGTTTATGATCTGTTGTAATACACATGGCTATATTTGATATCCGTATTACTGCTCTACCCAGCAGTCATTTGTGTATGTGGTTTTCTTTTCAATGTATTTTAAAATGACACATGTCAAGTCATTAATTTTTTTTTTGTGTGTGTCTATATTTTTACAACAGGTAATCCAAGAATATTTTTTTAGTTCTTTTCCAGATGTACAATTACAGTGCCCACTGTAAAAGTTCATGAAGCCATATTTTTTTTACAATAGAACACAGAAGAAATATCAAATGTTTAAACTGGGAAAATGTATTTTTTAAGAAAAAAAGGGTAATTTTTTAATTTGATGGCAGAAACATATTTCATAAACTTAGGACGGGGTCATGTTTACCACATATTCAGCTGCTCAACACTCCTGGGTTTTCTCAAGGAAGCTCCAATTCCATAGGCACTAATGCATCCACATATTATTAGAGATGGAGGCTTTTGCATTGAGTGCTGATACCAAACTGGATGGTTCCTCTCCTCTTATCTAGAGGATGTGACATCCATGTTTTCCTAAAGAATTTCCCTTTTTGTTTTCTGGAAGTGCTCCCGTGCCCATGCAGTGATTTTCAGGCTAGAATCATGAGGGCCTGAAGATCACGGACATCTCATATTGACTTAGATATACACACAGATTTCTCAAAACAACATAAGTTTAGTTTAGCACCAGGTTTATAATCTTGCTAGCTAGTTAGTGTTAGCCTAGCTTGCTGCTGCCACTGGGCTCATGTTATTTAAAAATTAACACCACAGCCTTAAAAACCTTACATAAAACTATGTCGGTGAAATTTTCTGTTGATTGTTTGAAATAAAAAAGCGAGATAAGAACCCAGACAAAATTCTTCGGGAGGTGCAGCCGTTAGGGGTGGGGTATGGGGGGTATTTTCAATCCATAGCCATAACTAACTAACTAACTAACTAACTAATTATATATATCATGTTTAACCTGAGTAGCAAAAGACCGCAGGGGATTGAAAACAATAAGCCAGGAGTTAGCTGTGCTCCCGGACTCTTATCAAGCCTTGACCTCCTGGTCAGCTATC